CGTCCTGTCGAAAACGTAATTGCTATCTCTATCGAAACACTCTCGAATAGGTTATTAAATTAGAGCAGTAAATGAAAGTTACCGTTCTGTCAAAAAAAAGGATGATCCAATTAAATCATAGTGTATACATTGTTGAAACATAATATATAATATATTAGATAAGAAATGGTAATACAGCTGTTTATATTTAACGAAATTCAGCTATGCGCTATATAAATTATCTCATTAGTTAAACCCTATCGCTACCACCATTGTTGCCGTTGTTTTCGTATTTATAACCACGTGCCCACCCATCAAACTCTGCTGCGTGGATCCAATAGAACCTTGAGGCGACCTGTTCGCTCACGTCTGACCCGCTTTTGAAGTTGCTCAAGCTACGTAACATATTCATTACTTTTAGAAAACGAGCATTTACAAAACAGAATAGTCTGGCCATAAGAAGGATGTTCTCCAAGGTCTAGCGGTGTAAACCAGCAGAGGACGTATCTTACTCGATCTGTAAGAAAAGCTCGAGCTTCAATAATGCAGCGACCTATCTACAACATACTGTTTTAGTCACATTAAGATACTGCATACATTGAAATAGGATGTTGGTTAAAATGAATTTGAAAAAAGTGGGCGTCATGTTATCGCCCGCTGCTTGCTAGTTTACTTCACAAGATAGTACAGCATCAATACCGTACTGGCGAGCTTTATTACTGTCGACAGCGCCTGCTGCCAACACCAACAGCTTGCAGGTAATAGACCATATATAAAGATGCGTGATCGACAAAGCGGTTTAGGCCCAAGTGGAGCCGAAGTGAGGGAAGCTATCTGCTGTGCTACAGCGGCGATCATTTATCTGGTTGTAGCGGGCCCATTGTGACGACCTTAGTAAAAGTATATACGGCATAAGTTATTGCCGATATCGCAAGAAATGCTCATCGAAATATTGGCATTGTTTGTAACGGTCTTGATACACAATAGTTAGCGTATGGGGTTGGACTGAATCAACACTTTAAAAGAGCTTTAAAAGACAAACGGAATCCTATAGCAAGTTCTATAGCATTTTTTTTACAACTTATGAATATGAGAAGATTTCGCAATCCACCCGCCGATTCGATTGCTTGAAGCATCTAATTGTTGTACATCAAACGTCGATCCCCAAAAGCGAACGCTGCGTATGTTTGTCGATACATTAGTAACACGGAACGCAGTCAGCGAAACGAGTTTTTGCGCGTGACTATTTCTGTGCGTGCGTGCGTGCGTGTACGAGGAACCTACATATAAATATCAAAAGGATGTTTGCTTGATGCGACCGGCCTTGAAGCTCTTCGTGACGGTAATCAACACCAATACATTCGAAATGCAAATGTATCTACCTAGCTGTTTATGTATATATATGTATACACAATGTAGTGAAAGGGATTGCTAGACAATAACCATCTCTCAAATGTATCGGCGGTACCGGTCGTACTTGGCATAATTGTTGGCGTGATGTCCGTCCGGCAGCGTGAAAATTTGCCGTTGCCACTATAAGCATACACTATGCCCAGTAGTACTCTTCTCCAGTTAACTCGTGCAGCGCACGTACTTGGCTCATATGTTGCTATATTATACGTTGCATGTGTATAAAAATTAAAGCAATGAATAGCTTTTCAGGGCCTACCCATTAATAGCAATAAAGAAAACTGGTCAATAATGTAATCTTCAAATAGTGAAATCGTTGAGGGAGATCAACCCCTACCACAGTGCTGTATCTAAACGGTATACTTTTTTTACGGACCGCAACTTGCCTAACATTGAAGAGCATGATACTTCCTTCTACTTACATTTCTAAAATAAGTTATTGCCATGTGCCACTTATCGACTGCGGCTTTTGTGCACACGGACATCTTCACAGCATCTTATCACTACCGATAAAACCTTTTCCCAATCATATTCACGAAATTATTTCACAGAGCTATTGGGAGCAATTGATTGGGTCTTTGAGCTTCTGTCGTGCACTGTTAGTTTGTAAAACATTTAGCATGCAACCGCGTTAAACTTTACGATTTCGTGATCTTCTATAATCTCTAATGATCCATGAGATTTTGCCCTCTAGATTGTGGTTCATCCAACATCGGAATAAAAAACAATTTGATATTCTATAGCTAAGTACGTTTTAATCTTAAACACTGAAGATATCAAGTCATAGTAATCAAACCAGCTACCAAAAATACAATCATCTTTAGAAAGTTCGACAGAATGTCACTTTCGCTTTTAGGTTTTCTCTCGTTCTATTGTGTAAAGGGGTTATAGTGTACGAAAATAAAGCCCAATTGTATCATTTAAAGGAATACGATGTCTGGCATTCCTATAGCGAAATTGTTTCAATTTTCCCTTTAAAGAGTACCGTACGGCACCACTATTAGTCCACAGCTTCATAGTTAATATCTTAAAAAAAAAAACGTTGTGTGAGTAGAAATGTGTTATAGATTCATTAAAGATTGTTTTGAAACAAAGATAGATTTCGAAAAACAGAGATGGCCTGGAGGGCTTAAGAGGTTTATTCTAGAATTTCAGTTTGCAATCTGAAAGTTCGAAGATAGGCTGTCTAGGATAGGGCTAATACACCTCCCTGACAATATTCAGTAGGTCCAAGCATTTACGGTTGACGCCCTTACGACGCTCATTGCAATGCATTACGGCCTGATACACTGCCCCCCAGAACGTTTCGAGCGAGGACACACGAAAACACTATAGCAATAATATCTATGGCCAGCCAGTTAGTCACCATATAGATACAGGCCCCTGGCGTTGTTTGCATCTACTTACGAGCAAATAGCGAGCTTTTTGCGACTTTGTGCGGACGAAATCTTTCGCAACAGGACGGTCATGGCCACTGCAAAAAAAGCTTCTTGCGGAAGATTGGTGTAAAACTATGTAAATATCGACTAATGCTGGCCTTTATCGAGCTGTGTAAAAAAGATTGATAAGAATTGGCGCACAAAGGCAAACAACATTCTAACGGCCGTCTTTCCTTACAATCTGTGTGATATGTAAATATTTTCCCGCCCGATGCCACATAGGGTTGCCCGTCCTGCCTTCCCTTCTGCCTTTCGGGGATCTATGTTTTCGTTTTCAACAACAAGCAATAGAGAAATTGACACACATTTTATAAATGCATAATGTACACAAATGATTCATTCACAGTCACATGATGACCAACTACGCAAGTCGCGAACTTGCAATTGAAATAAGTAGTATTCGGTACGTGCAGTCTGTCGATTGGCCATAGCAAAGAAACATCGTATAAACGTCATTTAGTCCACTAACCGCGGGCGCCCATTGACAGCTTGGGCTTGTCGTCGTGCGGTTGTTGTTTGCGAGAAACATGTCAATCGCTTTATACGATATATGTTACTCAAACGTCTACCCTTGTTTGTTCAACTGCTACTTGATAGATGAAATTAAATAGAAGCTGATCTTCTGGTGAGGAACAGAAGCTCGAGTGCTACGTAGATGATGATGCATTCTAACATCTTCTCTAAATACTTTGGATGCGTCCGGTAGCAATTCATACAATGCAAGTGGACTGAGATCGGATCCGTAACCAGTCTGTCAACGAGACAAAAGGATCTGTGTGGCTGGCAGGTTTGCGCTGGAAATCCAAAGGTGTACACCAAATTGCACAAAATGCCGTATAAAAATACAGTAGTTCTCTATATATTAGTTCGACAATTTTTAATGTCTATTGTATTTCTTCCGCTCGCAGCCTAATTGTATTATATCGTACATAATTAAGCAGATAGAGTTCTATAGACTAGTTGTTTGCCTTAACGGGAAGACCACACATGCCAGATGAGTAGTTCGCCATTGGGGAAGTATCGCTTTCAAGGCTCGCGTATATATCAGTTTTCCAGTAGGCAGCCTGTTAAAGAGCACTCTCAAGATGTCCACGAGGCATATTTAATATATTAGTATTTTTTTACCTAATATTGATTCATCTAAGACCTTTGTCGCAGTGTTTACATGGCATAACCTATTTAGATGTGGATTAGTCTAAAATATATATTTAAATCATTTTCATCCTTTTTCTACCTCTGTACGTATAGGTACACTACAATTGGTGGTGCATCAACATGTGCTGAGTCGTATACGGATACTTTCCGTAGACACGGTCAGCTAATTCACGACCAGTTAGAAACCGTTTATCTACCAGAGAGCCGTATAACATCGTGACACAAAAGTGCCTCCACCTGCACGGACTTTCAGGTTATCTCGCATATAGCCTGTACTAAATACGCGCAAATGGGGGATACGAAAGAACAGGCTAGATTAAAGGTTATTGACGAGAAGGACTTGTAGGCTCTATTCAAGAAAAAAGCAAAATGAACGACCTTTCGTACGCATTTGCAACCGAAGTCAGCGAAACGTCGAGGAATTTGGAGGGGCGCACCTTGGGCGACGAGCCGAAGGGAAAAAGCGGTGTTGGTTCCGGACGAAAACGGAAGTAAACATCACTGTTCCATTTGTTGAAATCAACTCGGCTACTGTCAGCCGAATCATTATTCAAAGGAGTAAGAAAACGTAAAGCGTTTGGAGTTGCTGATCCAGTTCAAATCCTTGTCTAAAAATAGCGCGGACAATAATAATTTAGCTAGTTCGATGCGTGACCGTATTCTACAATACGGAACAGCTCCATACACAGCTGTCCCTACGGCTTTTTGGCTTTTTTTCTTAGTAGAACGAATAGGAAAAACGAATAATCTCAATAAAATACATTCTGGTCGATCCTCGCAAATATACTACGAGCTAGCTCACTGTTACAGCCTATTCACTTTTCCAATTTCTAAAACTTATATGAATATTCGCAGTAAGTGTTCGCGGTACTCAAATGTGGTACCTCTAATATTAGCTATATTTTATTAACTAACTTGATTATGTATCAACTCTCTACTCTTTGTAATGAGATTCCATCTATCTACAATACGCTTGTTTCCTTTTTGTTGACAAGTTAAGAACTGTTAATAGCTTACCTTCTGTTGATACGCATCTTTTCCTAGCTAGATCGGCCTTATTTGCTGCTAAGATGACGGCTTTGGTGATGGGCCTATTCAGGAGGCCGCCTAGAGTCGCAGTAGCCGAGGATCTCCGTCGACCGACACCTCCGCCCTTCTGATGTCCGCATAGAACTCTCAGCTGACTAATGGTATCCTCGGCCAATTCCAAACTTTCCCTGTCCGTGACGGAATAGACGACTACAAAAGCGTCTGCCTCTTCTAAGTGTTGCTTTGTTACCTGTGTGCGACAACAAAAAATACCAGTTCACCTTAGAGGACCATCGTGAACAAGTGTTCCCGTACGATTCTTTTACTTTCAATTGTAGTTAATAAAAGCACTGCTCTCGATATTATTTTATATATCCTGTTTTTGCTGATATTTGGTAGAAGCTGGAAAACATACGATAATAGAAATGAACAGGTACAGAATACAATGTGTATATGCACAAGCAGTTGTCAATCTCAGTAATAATAATACTTTAGTTTCCTAAATTGCGTATTTTCTTTCACTCCTTTCTTTCTTGATTGTTAATATCTAGTAATTTATGTAATTTATCTAGTAATAAATGCAGCATGCTCACTAGTTACGACGTTACCGTATTAACGCACTGAAAAAGATGGGCGTTAATCATCCAAATTATGTCGCCCTTCAAAGCCGAAAGAGGGAAAACATGTTAAGCGACAATTGTACATTTCGCAACCAGTCTAATCGTGCAACGCTTTCTATAGACTGTGATATTATATGTCTGGACTCCTTTCTACAATAAACATTGACCGCACAATGTTCCAGCTTGAAAAATGCGATAGAAACGACGACACAGACACAGACTTACCAGGCAGCCATGTTGGCCATTGCTCAGTCGATAACTGAGGACCCCTCTTACGATTGCAGCGTTCGCCGATCTGGCCCTCTTTTTGGCATACCGTAAAGCGTGGCAGCCGTATCCGTTACGTCAGCGAATGCAGCGCACTGGGCACTGCACGATATAAGAGTTGGATTTTCAGCAACGGTTATGCTTGCCAGCACCTATGGCAACAGATAAGCTAAGTACAACGTAAAGCCTCTCTTGGTATCATATTGTTTTTCGTGCTCAAACTGAGCCCTTTTTGCGCCGCGAGGTATCTTTGCCTATCTGCTCCCTACAAAAGTCCGCAAAAGGTGCAACGCCACAAACGCAAGCTAATCCGCCATATAGATCCTTTATTCATCTATATATCGAGTAACTCTAAATGGCCAAAATTCGAGGAGTTCTTCCACGAACCCAAGATGCAAGAAGTATATTTGATGCGCACTGTCTAGCTTCTGGCTTTGTTAATCGGTGATTCAGTCGTACTCGTTACGAGACAGGGTCTTGGTGTTGGCTCTTTTCCCTCCTATAATTACTCAGGATAATGTAGCGCTACGTTTTACTAAGAGCAAAGATTATATTTTGCTTTTAATTCATATATATATATATATATATATATATATATATATATATATATATATATATATATATGCTGCACTTCTTAAGCTGATCTTTTCCAGCTGTATGTATGTATGTAGAGAATATATTATATGTTTGAGATCTTATGTTCGGTTCTAGAGCTAATTTTTCATTGGTTTGTCAAAATAGGTCCTTTAGCACTCGGATAGAAATGCCACATTCTGTGGCAAAAATCATATCAATCATCTGATACGGCTCGCATCATCCGTAAAGGAAGGCACTCGTGGTAGAAAAGCAAATCAGAGCTCATTATTTTCATGGGCGTTTGCCGCCACAGTTAAACAATGTGAAACTCCCTGGGGCTTTGAAGTACTATAGCGGCAAATTTTCTATGCAATAAATTTTGTCCTGATATGGCTGCTGAAAATACACCGCTTTAGCATAGAATATCACCGTGTTTTTTTGCTTTCTGAACGTGTTCTAGAAGATAAATAGAACATTGTATAGGCCGCTGAATGAGCTGTTCTCTAACATAATAGTGCTATTGTTATCATTACCACCACGGCTATTTGTGGCCAAGACACGCGTAGCGAATTCGAGCCACCTAATTTACTATAATGTAATAATAACCTATATACAACGAGAACGTGTAGCAAAATAACCGTTCCTCGTTTGGGCCGTATCGCGTTGACAGCTGTTCGTGTCTCTTACCGTACGCGCTAGCCTTTACGTCGCAGTTTAAAGGAAAAGTTCGCCGTAGATATGTCTATGCAGGACGAAACAGAAACAGAAACAGAAAGACTATCAGAGCTACTCCTGTGTTACTAGCAGAAATCCCAGGAGTAGGATTACGAGAACATGATGATATCTATCGAATGAACGGAGATGTCGGGCCGTGCAGTTCGCTCGCGAATGGATTGAGTGGTCCCACTTCTGAAGATAGAGAAAGCTACGCTTTGTTTTTCGGTGAGCACGTTCGTATGCGTAATATCATCGAATCGGTATTCAAGCCTGTGCGAGACGCTGACGTATATCAAATCGAAGAAGGGAATAGGTGCGGGACGCAATCAAAAGAAAACGGCTTTATATCTCTCTCTCTCTCTTTTTAGATCTTGTTATCTTTTCTGTCTCTGTCAATATATAGGCTATGAGCCTATCAAGTCTAGCGGCAGAGAGAAACAGCATTTCATCTGCCGGCCATAACATTACTACAGATCAATACAAGATCATCCATTACGATCTACATGGGCTAGAACTTGAAAAATCTTTCTGTCTAGCATGTAATGCGACTAGGTTTGTCGTATACTAGATAACGCTAACCACCACCGTGATTACGATCTAGCTGATACAGGGAACAGTCTGATTTTAAACGCTCAGCCTGATCGCAGGCAATCATATGACAAAAAAAAAAAAAAATAGCTGGTTATTGGATGAAGGAAAGCAATCCGATAACAAAGAGCAGATTGTGCAACTTGCTAATTATTTAGCGTCGCGATAACGGTTTCGTTGTCGTACTAAATAACTTTAGCTTACTTATTGTTTGGCTCCTCAAGGATATCTAGGCATACACGTGGTGTTACAGTTTCTATCCGGGTGCTTTGTTTAGCTCGATTGTACCAGTAATAATATCGAACGACCTGCAATACATGAATAGGAATAGCAATATGCATAGAAATATACACGTATACGTACTTTCGAGTAAACGCTACTCCGTTAGTTATCCACTGAGCGCTAGTTGCGCTGTTAGTTCGGAATTGCTCCTATATCAGTTTCGAATTTATAGAATTTTCTACGTAGCTTGCCTGCCTGGTAAGCCAGCATGATGACTGGACTCTTCTACTTAACCGGTCTTTTGCATTGCGTAGTTTTCCAAGCACAATCCTATGCCCTACCATGTCCTGAGCACGACACAGGCTACAAATGTTTTACACACACGAACAGATCCTCGCACTCGAAAACGTATATCGGTTGGAATATACCTAGTCCTGTAGATTCACCCTATGTAATCGAGCTGAAGTTTGTTTGTTATGAATGAAAATTTATTGACAATGCGCAAACAGCGCAAGATAACTGGATGCCATGTCATATCGTTATTCAAGGAAATCGAACTTTGTCCGTAACACAACAGAGCACACATTGGCTAGCACGCAACAACAGGACAAGAGCTTTGATCTGTCTTTCTTTTTTATGTTGTTAGCGATAGCCGAGGGTTTCTGTGTCGCGGAACTCGTAATCTGGCTGCAACCGCATGTTCTCTTTTCTTCCAAGTCATTAAATTCCCAGTTCGTAGCCAGTAAATAATTGCTGCGGCAACAAGTAGGCTACAGGTCTGTGTAGGATAAATTGCAACCTGAGATGTTTGCTAAGTCATAAGTTGTCGTGCCTTCATATATGCAATTATCTTACATAGTATAGTAGATACATTTAGTTCTAGAGGCTTCACCTTATCTTCGGTTTAGAAATGAAGCTTGGCAAAAAACCAGCACGCAGCTTTTGAGCCTTATCAGGTTCAAATATGGGCAGGCAGCTAACGAGCACATCAAGCGTTTAACCGTCATATTGGTATGTCCATATTTTTCATAACATCAGCTTGCAAGCAGGACGTAAAAGAACTGGATTCCACAAAATCAGCAACTTCATACGAATGGATTTTTTGGGCATATGTGCGTAACTAAGCAAGGTATCGAGCATGCGCGAAACACTGTTTACCCAAATGTCAAATGTACGATCTAAAGTAGGTGATACAATTGAAGTACGTTCGAATCCAAATTCGAGGGCTAAACCTATTTAACTCAAGTTCAGTGAGGAACCTGAACCTGTCGAGACTACAACGTTCGCAGGGTGTACTTTACAACAATATCATGATAACCCTATTTTCTCAGTAAAAAGCCGAATTTCAGTGTCCTCTCTGATTTTTTAAGAATAGCATTCCCTACCGGCTATGATATTTTTTATCGTTGATAGTAGCCAATTTGTTATAACAATTTAGATTATATCAAAACAAATTACCTTTGACCCTCACACAGACTCAACAAACGTATCTAGTGGGTCAAGGGTGCATTCACCGCAACAGCGTCAAATAACCCAGGTTTCAGTCATGCCAACCCTGAGAGAACCTTGTCGTTCATTATGGATCAAAAGGCGGAACTCCCCAAGCCTCCTCTACGTAGAATAACACAGCGCCACTAGACGATAGTTGTACGACGTATCGAAAGTTTTCGACGCAGGCACTGTCACTACACATCGAGACGCTGACAAAACTTTTGATCCTAAGTTAAGCTAGAAGGCGAATCTGCTTGGGATAAAAATCCCTTTGAGAACTTCTCGAAAGCCCTGTTGTTGGGTTTGCACATTCACACAGAAAATTATTAATTTTAGAATCAATTAGACGAAGCTATGAAAAATTGCTAAGATCACACTGAAGTTAGTGTTTATCTCTTCTACTACATTTTTATCTATAATGCACATAATTATCTAGTCAAAGCCCATACATGGCATAACAATGTATTTCAATTTTTACGTACAGATAATTCTCTTTTTTTTTTTACCGATTTTTCCGTATGGTTATACCGTATAGTTAGTCTCGACAACAGCTCTGTGAAGCATACAAGAGTCTCGCTTGTTAATTAAGGTTGACGTACGTAGACATCTTGAGTACAAGCACATTTTATAAGTACGAGCGGCAAAAATCACGCGTCTTGGCACAGTCGGTAACTGCATAGGATATGTATGTAAATCCAAAATAAGCGATCTACTTTTAAATTATAGGCCGTATATGGCTAATACCGCGTAACAGGATAACTCACGTGGTAACTGCATCGTTTTCCCTCGGAAGGTTTCCCGTTCATAGGCATTGTAAGCAACGTAACTGATTTAACACTCTGTCGAGGCATCTATTTTGGGTGTCTGTAACGTAATGCGCTATTCAATTGCGGCAAGCTTGTAGCGATCTTTGGTCCACGAACTCCACCCTTCCTAACTCTTGATGGCCTTGTTAATTGACAGCCGTAAAAATGCCAGACTGTGTATTGCGGTGGACCACAACGTTAAATCATAGAATTAATTTTACAAGGCTATCCCTATTAATAAAGAAAATTTACTGAATAACCATGAAACGGTCCGCAATCGGAGTTTTCTAATAGCATTGCCCACGCCTAAGAAGTGTTTCAGTTTCAACGAGCGCCAATTCATATCCGCTTTCACTAATGTGTGCAATTAGTTTAACGACATAAAGTAGGGAAAAAAATTGCTTTTTTTGGATACCGTTAGTAGGACAGTCTGGCAGGTACAAAAAGCGCCTGGATGACAACATAGGACCGTGCCATCTGTTCGATATAAAGAGGCCTTCCCGCCCATGCACAATTAACTTTAGACATTGATAATATCTCTATTAACCAGAAACAGCAGCCTCCAAGGATGATCGAGGCGTGATGTGCAGAACTTTTTCCCGATTGTAATACCATCGTTAGCAGTTTGCTCTACAGGGTCAAACGTAACGAAAAAAACGATCTTGTTATTTTAGCGACATGTTCCTGATTCCTAGAACGTGGTCGATGTCGTCCCTTAGCTGTAGGCCAATGTTACCCGCTCATATCGTAAATGCAGTCTCATTTTAACCAACACAGCCTCAATGGTACAATGACTACCCCATCGAGGTAATATTTACGTACGCGAGGCCGTGGCTATGCCGTAGTCATTTCTGGAAGCGTCTTTCTTTGTTGACTCTACAGAGCAACAGATCGCAGTCCTGGAAATGGCCTAAGTTTGCATAGCTGTATATTTGGGTATATATAGAAGCAGAAGCTGGACACCCGGCAACACCGAATGAGGCAAGACAGGAGCACCGAAACCGCTTTCTCCAAGGTTCAATAAAAGTAAAGGGTTTATTACATTAGAGGAAAGATAGGACTAGCATTTCTTATCATTATTATTTCCTTCGTTTTAAATTTTCGCAGCTGCATCCTCAAACCGAATCGGTCGGTGTAAAATACTCTAGAGCTCGGGCTGTTCTTCTATTCATTAATCTGAAATTCTCATTATGATTAATGTTTATGCTACACGATCAGTTCAACATATTATTAGAAGCGAAGTGATGTAGAGAAATTTGTTTTAGTTTAATTGTATTTAAAAAGCGTGATCAAGCTATAATGTGCGACCACTGAATAAAACGTGTCATCTTATGGTAGAGTTAGGTGTACGTCGTAGAACAGTATTCGGTCTTCGGCGGCGGCAAAGTATTTATATTCTATGACCTGTACTGGATTACGCGCTTTCCTCATGTGTCAATTATGAAGGGCTGTTCACCGCCGCGGACGAACAGGGATCAAGGAAGATAGCTTTAGGTAAGCAAAGCTTTTTACGGCTTTGTACGAAAAATGCAAAACGTAATCCTATTATGATTTTATCATTAACACTCTATTAGCAATTATCTAATAATCTTGGTAACTTTCAATCTTAGTTCTAGTCAACTTCTGCTATGCATGACTTATTTGATTTGCACCATATAAAAAAACAGCAGAGACCGACATAGCGTTAATATGAACGTATTCTTTGAGCTAAGCTGATACATCACTGATAATGAATGCAAATAAAAAAACGTTATTACTGTTATACTATCACTTACCACGTGATCGGTGGTCTCGTCGAATTCGGCATCAAACTCCTCGCCGTCCAACATTACGCGGGTCGTTTGCACATCGACACTGTTTTCCGCTGACGGCGGGGGCGACGTAACTGATGAAGATAACATGTGGTCACGTCGTCATGAAACGCAGACATTATCAGTATAAGTATTAAAGAGCGAAGAATAATCATTCTTGATCTATAACGCGGACAGATACATACGACTTGATCAGTTGCACGCTTAACTACTAATAAAGTAACAACAACGTAATAGAAAAACACGCATTTGTCTCAGTTCGCGTTTATCTTTAGTAAGCTTTATGAGAGAAAGCGGATTGTAAATTGGAAAATGGATTATTCTTCTGAACTTAATGTCTTAGCTTGGTCACACACTTAGTAAAGCAAAATCAATGCTTTATTAAGGGTCTCTATGTGGTTTTACGGTGTTGGCATAATGTGTATATGAGCTGCGTCGTTGTTAGGCAGACATCGCACGAGAAAACGCGTCCCATCCTTTGGCTTGGTATAGCTACTCTGACTCGACCATCACGATTGCAGTATCGGAGTAATTACTCGAGTACAAAAAATGTCGATTCTAAACGGACGTGACGACTAAATTATGCACAAAATAGGCAAAAACGAAATATCCGCGATCAGATTACTACGTAATAAAAGTCCGGCCGTATTGTAACCGCTGTGCGGCCTGCGATGTGCGTATAAGGATAAGGCTTAGTCCAATAGAATTACGTTCACGTTTGCTGGATCTCTTACAGAACCTGTGACGAGGAACTTCTCTCGTATGCATTTTAGGCAAATTACCTAACGCTCTTTTTGCTCAAACGCACTACAGCCATATTTTGTAATAGCAGCGTCAAATAATAACAACCGTATGGACATCCCTCATATAATAACTAAAATTGTCTTGGCTGACATTTAATCGATAACGTACTTGCCCTTATTTGGAAGGGTGCATTGAAGTTATCCAATATTATATCTTTACAGAAAAAAAAAAAAACACGTTTGCACCCCTTTTATGAAGCAGTGTTCCAGCTTCATCATTATATATCTTATTATATCATTTCATGCCAGTCTAGCTTTATCTGAGTGACTGCAATGGGACTCCGCGGTCGAAAGCCAAGCTCAGGGAACTGAAGAAAGAAAAAAAACCGTGTAGTTTTTTTGTAGATGGACACAGTCGTATTTAGTCACCCAAAAATTGGCAATATTATGAATAGGTAATTTTGTAAGAAAGATATACGTTAAGCAGATCTGTTTCTTCTTACATCTTAAAAAACGCATTATTATAACGGTTTAAGCTACCTGCGCAAATCGTATCGCTGCTACAGTGGCACATGAGTATACGCATGCCGTTTCCCATGACGCCATTATGTACGGAGCGTCGAGATGCCACACTACGCCATTTTTTATTTACTTATCTTTAAAAAATATAGCGAATCCGTGTGCTATTACCGTCAGGTAATTGTGAACGAAAATGCGAGCGACTGTAGGGGGACGGACAGTCGATTATAACGTAAACGTGGTCCTGACGTTGATTCAGTATCAACATCAGTAACCGCAAAAAAGTGGAATACTTTTCTTCTCCATGTGGGAAATTGTCAGGAGTTAGCAATCTGCAGCCATTCTCTCGTCGCGTTTCCTCTGTTGAATTTCCTATTGAATGAAATGGGAGAAGATAGCGGAGAGCAAAGTAGGTCGGCCGCATATTCGGGCCGATTGTTGATTTGCATTGAATATATTTCCGTTCTTTGGCATTGACTCATTGCGAGGAAATTAGTAACCGTAAGTACCCCGCACATATCGGACGGTAATAACAATAATAAAAATAACAGCCGTTACATAATCGCAATAACGCGCCCACTCAAAGCTGTTTATATAACTGTTGGTTGAAAGATACGCACTGATTGAAAATAATGTTGCTAGAAATAATGAAGTGAGAAATAGATCCGCTGAAAACGGTAACCGTGTTTGCGTATTGAGAATTGGCATATTCTCCTGACATGTCCTTGACGAAACCCTCCAGCAACAAATCAATTACAAAGTAGTTAGAATATAAATAAATATATATGCCGATATATATCGAAACGCAATTGTGTTCGTTTATGGGTCCAATTTTCTCGAAGTGGTACTCCTTCTAAAAACCACAGCGTGATCGTTCATATAATTGTAACGTGTGTAGAACGCAGGCCTTGGTAGTTTCTCACAATACCGTGTTGCAGTACCACAATATGGCAAACACGATCAACTATTATCACTAATGATTTGGTCTTTCTGAGTCTGAGTAATCACCAACACAGATCCTCACAGCAGATTTTTGTCAACTGAAGTTGAGCAGGAAAAGCTAGTATATGCGAATAATTTACTACAGTCAATGATTCGCTTGCCTATATGTGCACAATATATGAAGAAGTCCTATATATAACCTCGTCGGAACACATTATTGCAGAACCTGCATGAATTATAGTTCAGAGGAATATTCTTTGGGGTTAAGACGCCCATCGCACACATACTAATTCTGCCAGTCAACTAACTAAAAGAAACCTTTTTTAAAAGCGAATTTCTGCATAAAGTATTTAATCCGTTATGGTAATACTTTAGACGAATAGCTGCGAGCATGAACTTGAACCAGCACACAATTCCTTAGTTTAATAGGTAAAAATTCCACTACTATTCCATCATAGGAATAGAACGAATCGTCTGGCTCTTTCTTATTTACCCGCCTTTACGGAATAAGTTGGAAGTCATGTGCCAGGATTGAAATATTAGATGAAGTTGTCTCGATCAATTAGCAATTTAAATTTCCAACTTATGATTATCCTTGACACAGTAACTAGCAAACCATTTTAATATTCTATTATTTTTAACAATAACTATAGAAAACTCAGTCTGTGCTTTGCTATGTGAATTTACCTGATTCTACTAGTACTTGTAGTAGAAACACCCTATAATAACTCATTATAGCTAGGCTGGCGAATGTAAGCAACCTAGAGGGATCTATTATGTTGGGCACAAGGGCTGTTGATCATGTCCTTTATGATAGTATACTAAAAACCTCCTAGAAAAACGAGAATTCATGTGTGACCCTTGTGTGTGTACACTTAAAAACCCCTTCGCATATATCACACGTGTTTTGCATTAAAGAAATAGCGGTACTTTACTCACTAATCTCCAGATGTCCCTCTTCGTTGACGGTGTTGGCACGACCTTCGATGAATTGTTGCAATAGACAGGATTTACCAACTCCGGGTGCTCCTAACAGCCTTACACGCACAAGTGGTGGGCTAGGATCTTCAGGGGCATCAGTACACGACGATACTGACTTGCGCCGTTCATCAAGAGCATTCGTGAGTACAACGTCGCCGAGATTTAGAATGTTGCCCTTAGGTGTGACTGAAAAGGATCGGCACCGGTACGCGCCAGGTCCTGGAGGTGGATCGACGGCTTGTTGGGGGTAGCGGGCCGTAGCCAAGCCCGGCGATCGTTTCCGATGGAATTCAGCCCACGGGTCCTCCTCTAACTCTTTCCACAAACTTCGCCCATTCGGCGAACGACTACCTGGAACTCCCAACGATCTCCGTCGACCCTTTTGGTACTTGACGCGATTGCGCGAGATTCGATTTGGGCTTCCTGAGGTCGATGAGGCTGGCGATCGATTGGGCGGCGTCAACGCCTGTTGCTGTTGGTCTAACGACAATTGGGCTACCCCAGGAGATACGTCTGAGCAGAATTCGCGGAACAGCTGGTGCGGTGAGGCGCTCAGGTCGGGCACCGACAAGCAGTGCAGCGATATATTGTTGTTATTGTTACCACTATGGCTAATACCATTAGCATTCATGTTTGGTACAATAACTGTGGATGATGGCACACACAGATTCTGACACAATGGCAGTTGGTATTCCGTGTAAGGTTCACTATGCCGCTTTTTAGGTTCCATGACGGGCGAAACAGCTAGGTCGACGTACATTTTGGCAGTCAATGTTTGCTTTGCTCGTCGTTTTCTTGCTTGATTGAAAATGGCCGGACAGTCAGGGAGTTTAACGTAATGTTAAATCACTTACTTTATTAAGGCTGTTCGTAGGTAGATTATTGGTGTTGTTTTAGCGAAGATGCCAGCAAGCGGGTATTATCATTGTGCAGTTGTTATTACCACAGTATCTTAAACAAACAACTTAATCATTTTTGTTGCCTGTGAAATAGTAATGTCAACAGTTCGATACCGATAATATAAAGCTTGTAAGTTAATGGACAACTAACTAATGTCGTCGTACAATACGTTCGAGTTAGCTTGAATAGAGCGACAATATAGTGTACGTGGCATATACGAATAATGGTAGCACGAGTCCAACACAAAAAATCCAAAACAAAACAAGGTAGCTCCAAAATAATGGAGTCTACCGACGCACCAGCACGAGTCACACAATTAGTCCATAGGAAGCAGCGATATCTCACCACACATATACTCAAACAGTAACACTGACCTGATTTGCTTTCCCGGGTTTACCTATATCCTAAAGGGTAAGAGAGAGAAAAAGGGTCCTCGCCACCGGCAACGGGGGAGGGTCGCGTTTTACGTGGGAAAAGGAACCCCACCAAGAGAAGGCGAGGAGGTTCCGTATTCAGTAACGGTTCCTCCGCATCACCTGAGCACCACAATATCCTCTAAGGCAGCTCGTGTTCCGATTCATGCACCCTAACCTGAGTGATTAACACCACGACTGCCGGCTAGTTCACCCCTATGCGCCGAGTCAGCTGAAACACATTGAAGCATGACATTTTGGTATTTCTTCCTGGATTCGATGGCGAATCCGAGCGGGCGGGCGCGGAAAGACAATAAGACGTAATAACCAACTAATAGTCTGTTTGAGTGTTGTTTGCAGCTAATCTGGCGGTCTGTAGGGGGCGGACAAGGTGAAGCAAGGCAATTTGCTGGTTTCGCAACGCGGTAAATAAGGTAGGCAGAAGCTGTATGCCAACCATTTGCTCCTACACGGTCTGGCCATGTCTAAATTCAGAATGCTATATAGGCCAGCAGCTGACGCAATACAAGAACCTGTCTAGCTCCGATGAAATACGTCATCATGCTATGTTTCGTCAGACCTAAAGCAAGTAAAACAGCATGGTCTGTCGTAAAATAAAGGCTATAGTCTGTCAGTATCTTCTGGGGAGAATGTGTGTGCCCCTTTCAAAAAACTGTCTGGCTACATCGAATAATAAAAAAAAAACATAATCCATAATTTAAATGGTCGATCGATAAAAGCAGGCAAACCTCAAGGATGGGAAGTGTATTTCTTGGCTACAGGCCACAACTAGATATCTGGTATACCTTAAGGTGAAAATCATAATTTTGCAATTACCTTTCAAAAAAATATCTAAAAATCTAAAATCTTCTGCAATTCTACACAATATCTACAGGCCTTTGTTAGTCGTCAAGTCACAATAGCTTACTGCTGGATTAGTCTATTATTAACAAAATCGTAGTACTGCAAAATACAGTATACGATATTAGAGAGTTGATAATCTCTGGCATACTACTTGTCAATAAGATGAAAAAGTTAAGCATAAGTTCCGCTACAAAGTTGCTGAAATACCCTTTGGAACAAAAAGCCACACGCACACCAAAAATGCTACGCTAAGCTTGTTGAAATAGCAGTCTCAGTTCTAATTTCTGGTGACAGCTGAAGGCTTTCAGTAGTTATTTCGCCAAGGTAAGCCTTTGTACGTCAGACGTTAGCAAAGACTCGACGTATAGTAAAACTGTAACTTCGATTTTACAAGTTTTCAAAGATGTTGTATCCGCCTGGATGTGTCGTCGACGTTATAAAACAACACGAACCGCTCTATCGCTAACTAAGAGTAGCGAGTTTTTTTCTTTAATTCGGACATAACAAAATGTGCCTTGACATTCGAAATACTTGGTTTAGGATGAAATCGGTTGACTAGACAGCCGCGGTTAAATTTGCTAAAAAAAAAAAAAAAAAAAGAAGGCGCGTATTTGGAAACTAGTAGGGTACACAGTGACTTCGAACTTATTTCGTCTCACTCAAGATATCAAAAGGAACCAATTATAACTAAAGATTATAATATTTTATTGAGAGGTTATTTAAGACAATCAAATAAGCAGGCGAGATTTAAATAGTTGTAACTTTCTCCCGGTTTGCCATACGTAATATGCAATATGAGTAACTGCACAGGGTTTCCCTAAATCCGAGAAGCTACACGGGTATCCTTCGTATTCTAAGTTAACAGATAACCCAGTTTAAATCCACAGCATTACATATCTAGAAATAGCTTCGTTCGTGCACTACTTTCCATCTACTACTGCTACAGAGAGTTCGTTGAAGTTGATCTTCCCTTGATACGAAGACAAATATATTAATACGTTCAGTATAATATGGTCTGCTCTATACAAATTAGTACAGTTAAACGAGAGTCTAAATTGGGCTAAAATTTTCACTGCCGACCTTCTGTTTATCAGACTTTATTTATGATATTTCTAGAACATTGATTTTTAAGAAGTGTTCTATTTATGCCTGCTGCAACGTTCTTAGAATAGGATAGACGGTCTAGCTAGATAAAAGAAAATACGAATTGTACTGTCTGTAAATCTGTGTACTCTCTTGTACGCCAAATGTTCTGGACCAACTAGAATAATACTTCTAGGTATCTTCCTCTTAATCAAGTTCGTTAAAAATAAGAAAAAGATGCTTACAAATAATGATTATCTATGATCATCTATTGTTTATAATCCAATTCTATACATACCGTTCAATTATCTAATTTAATTTACGATGTTGATTCAGCTCTAAATTAGGGTACTGTGACTTTGCTCTAGGACACACTGCCTAAGTTAAACTTGTTCGCTGTAGGACGTTTTTATTCACGAGGTTAATGTAGCTCGAGCATTCTGATCCCGCACGCTTCTTCAATTAAATTAGCTATTTGCAGATCTAATTTATATGTTGGAACATCTAATTAGGAAGTTATGGCATTTTTTTGAGGATGTAAAGATAGCAAAAGCTAGCTATGGATCATTGGGTCCTGTTTGGAACCGTGATCCAGCAGATGTTTTAGTAAACCTTTCAATATTGCAGTAGATTTCTCGGTATTGTGTAAATATCGTGATACAATAGTGAATGTTTCGGAATTATAGCGTATCGCTACAGCCTCAGCTCCCGCACCGTCGTCAGGCGTTTTCTCAGACAATGGCAACGGAGCACTACTGCAAATGCGATTTGTTCGCTGGACACTTCGTCGCTATACAACAATAGAACGAAAACTGCAACGATTAGGACTTAATATTGGTACGCGCCATATTACTCGGTTGTGTACATACGGTCTAGAACGGTATGAACATCTTGACCAGTTTTCAAAACGTCGAATCTTCAGGGCTGCTCTACATAGCATTCTGGTACCGTACCTGGAAACACCTGTTTTCTTTGCTCGAACCGAATCGCTTCCCTTTCATAACAACTCCGTTGAACCTTGCACGTACACACCTCCGTATTTTCTGAAGCGGATCGCCTCTAATTCTAGGTTTCCTCTGCACGCGCCCATAATTTTTGGCAACGTTGACGCCGAGCCACCAATCTTTTGCTCTGAGAGCGATCGCTGGAAATGACATGGAAGCGCTTCAAGACCCCATTTACAATTCTCCGAATGCCTACATGCCCACGCGTCTACCCGAAGTCACAGAGCAGGATTGCGGCTCCAGCCTAGACCCAGTGGCAACAGCGCATTATTTTCTTTGACTTGGCATAGGGACTCGTTGACGAAAACCTACTAAGGAACATCCATATCAACTCTGATGATGATGTCACTCAGACGAGGTTTGCCGGTTACATTCTTTTGACATCTGCCACTCTAAGACCACCTAACTTTATGACAGGCACCATCAAGAGTTTTGCATACGACGTGGATCCTTTGTTCCAAGCCGCGCGAACGCAAAACATTTGGCTGCTGTTAGCGCGAGGATGTTCAGCGACTTCGCACACTACAGCAGACATAGAAACTTGGCCCACTACGGACGCTAACTGGGTTTAACGACGGTTCCTAACTAGCTGTATTCGATTATTGCGTGCGAGTTTCGCAAGCGCCGTGAAGTGAGGCAACGACACTGCAGTGTGGCAATTTATGAAATCATCACACAGATACCATCCTATGATATCTGTTGGGAACGCCTTGAACTCAAACGGCAATTCGACACGCTTCAACGGACACCGGTTTTTTTGGGAGAACGCGTTACAGGTTTTCGTAAGTTCCTCGGACTTGGATAGTAATATTCTTTCACTGCTCGCATATACGAGCCTTGTACTTATTTTACGTCGCTAGTTTATTTAGATCAGTACTGACTTGGGTCTGACAAAAGCCCATAAGCGATCCTAAAAAGTCGCTCATACGACCAGCCGTAGACACCTGCTAAGGCTCGGACACGTTGCCCAGACCTCAAGTCGTAAAGAAGTGCTAGCTTTGGCGGTCACGCGACTCCTTCTACAACCCCTGTCAACCGCCCCACCACGGCCATTTTTGATTGGCTTATTCTTTTCGCTGTTCAGCTTCATTTCATTCTCTCTGGCATAAATCGCGACTACACATTAAGACAGGCACGAATACGATTTGTGCGTCCTACATTTCTTCCTTATATAGCAATAGCGATTTAAAGTATTACTGGTAGACGCCGTGTATATATATATATATGTTCTGAGCGCTTTTTTAAGTGTAGCTCTCTATTTAAATGTCTTAACTCGAGTCGTCGTCCTGGTATCAAGTAACAAATTACAGACTAAGCTTAATCAGGTGAGATCCTACCTAATGTTCTCCAGCGCTGGAAGGTTTCTTATGGTCCCTAATGCTCTTTAGAACTAAAAGAGAAAGCCCTAGTTTAATTAATTCTTGAGTTAATATAGCCTTTGAGAATTACCAGCATGGTCTAAAAGGTATCGAAGCTCTTGATGAAGTTATGCTCTCTATCAACCGAGCCAGATTGAAGGAAATGCCACTAAGTACGTCCATCTTTTCTCTATCCATTCCAACAAAGCAAGCTATTATTAACTGGCGAAATAAGTTCGCGAGCGCTGATGTCGCTGCTAATATAGGTAAAGACAGACGTTCTTATATCTTCGATATACGTCATTCTGCGTACCATTAGTGGTTAGTTTGGACGTAGTTCTCAGGCGTCTTAAAGGGCTACACAGGTCTGGAGAGGATTTAAGTATCTCAAGTGGGTTATCAGTATACCTATTCGAACTGTATGCCTTTTTGTTTGGAAGCTATTTGCTTTGTACCGCCAACTTCTAACCATCTGTTGAAATGATTGCACAGCATATTGCAAATGTATTCCTATCTACATGTTCCGTCTAACATTGTAGTAAGAAGATGTTTCGGCACCGAAGTGGCATGTCTACCGTGCCAAATTGCCACAAGTAAAAAGGAAACATAACAATAATGTATGTTAAAGTCCTCTATGAAACTGAGTTTTCAGTGTGAGTTATGTAGCTTTACGATTACACTGGTCGAAACCCAATTGGCACAGGAAA